AGGCTGGCGGTTCAAACCCACCAGCCACTCCTCGGAAGGAAGGTTGGGCAATCCTACTTCCATAGTGATACCGCCTCGGAAACCCAAGGAGGTGTCGCTAGGAGTCGGGGCTGACTCGATGGCAAATAACAACATATATATTTGAAGCAGGTCACTCCCTTAAGGAAACTCCCTTTCAACTGATTGGCTGCTCAAAGCTTATACATCATCTCTTCATGAGATAACCACATCATAATTCCTTAAACCACTCAGAACCTTGGTCTAGCCAAGTTGACATGCAACCCCAACCATTACACACTGCTTTCAATATAGACCATTAGCCAATTGGATTAAGTCAATGACATAGATACAGGTTTGTCAACTGAAGATACCTAATCAAGTAATCCATTTTTGACACATACATGGGCCAGCTGATATAAGCAGAACTATCTCAGTTAAGCCGCTGTTACAAAAGGAATCATTGGTTATTGTTGCATATCACTGAGAGTTTATGATTGTTTGTTTTGCATCAATACTGAGCTGATGCCAAATCAGATCTGTGGATTGTGTCAATGCTAATATCCTAGTTGATATACTTTTCTCTCATGAATTTAAAAAGTTAAAAGATATACAAAATGTCATAATCTTATTTTTCTTAACAACATATAATTAATATAAAGTTATCTTAGTAAAATTTTCAAGTAAAAAATAACAAGTAAATAAATCACAATCTCATTAAAATAACTGACAACAGTAAAGTCATCAGTATATATTTCTAAAACGTGTATTACATTCAAGGAGCCCTGGTAGCATAGTGCCTAAGACATTTGACTGCTAACCAGAAGGCTGGTGGTTGAAACCTCACACAGGTATGGAGGCCGGCAAGTCCCAAGTTCCTGGATCAAACATCAAGCTGGAGGCTTTTCCCAACTCACACATTTGCAGGGGCTGATAAGCTCAAGATTGGCTAGCAGTATAATGGCTGTTGACTTCCATTGATGACAAATCCAAGACCACCAGGAAGAATGGTGGATTGTTCACTCATGGATAGCTGTAGGTAACACAACAGGATCAGATCCACAATTTTCTCAGAATATATATATATATATATATATATATATATATATTTGGGAGCTCTGGTAGCATAGTGCCTAAGGCACTTGACTGGTAACCAGGAGGCTGGCAGTTCAAACCCACCAGCCACTCCTCGGAAGGAAGGTTGGGCAATCCTACTTCCCTAGTGATAACTGCCTCGGAAACCCAAGGAGGGGTCGCTACTCCTTGAAAGAAAGGTTGAGCAATCTACTTTCACAGTGATACTGCCTCAGAAACTCAAGGAGGGGTCACTATGAGTCAGATCTGATTCTATGCCAGTAAGGTTTTTTTTTTTTTTTAATATTATTTTCTGGTTCTCTTGTACACTGAGAAAATATACAATTTATATTAACATATATAATTTAACTGCACCAGCTTCTGGTCATTGTAGGATGGAGAAATTTATTATTTATTTTTCTTACCATGGAAATTTCCCAACACAAAGATAGTCCATTTGGAACTGATTAATATATTTTTATATAGAGAGAGTTTTATGTCAGATAGCTGATAGTGTATTATTTTATATCATGATCAAAATTTCCTCATTGTAAAGTATAGATTATCAGATCACCTGGAAAAAATTAATATGTCATGTGAATTAAAAAGTAATGAAGTTTGGCTTGGACAAACACATGGTCATGTATACTAATAAGAAAATTTGTACGACAATTCATAAATAAAAGACAGGTTAATTGTTTTGAATTTTTCTTTTTTAGTGGTATTTGTAGTGTCAATGTAGTTTTACTACATATTGAATTAAACAGGTATTAAAATGCGAGCTGGAGAGTTATCATGAATTCAGGTCCTGATTTGTTATTGTTGAATTCACACCAGTCCCATCATTAAGAAAAAAAAACATACATATATGGATTTAGACTTTAAAACCAAATAAATTAGTATTGATTAGCTTCCTGACTGTGTTCTTCACATCTTTGTTCCTGAGGCTGTAGATCAGAGGGTTCAGCATGGGGATGACCACTGTGTAAAACACAGAGCCCACCTTGATCATGAGCCATGAGCCTTTGGAGTTTGGGACACAGTAGAGGAAAAGGATGGTTCCATGGAAGATGGTAATGGCAGTCAGGTGAGAGGCACAGGTGGAGAAAGCTTTTTGGCGCCCTCTCCTGGAAGACATCTTCATGACAGTGATAAATATGAAAACATAGGAAGTAAGAATGATCATGAGGCTGCTTATTTCATTGAATGTGGCAGACACTAAAATGATCTTTTGACTAATGTAGGGGTCAGAGCAAGACACAGAAACAATGGCAGCATGCTCACAGACAAAGTTATTTATGAAGTTAGTCCCACAAAAGTATAATGTCAATAGAAAGTAGGTCAATGTCAAGGAACAGAATATACTCCAAGAGTATGAGGCAGCCACCAATAAGAAACAAACCTTTGGAGACATAGCAATATGATAGACCAAGGGGTTACATACTGCCACGAATCGATCATAGGCCATCACTGCCAACATGAATGTTTCTGCCACCACAAATATGCAAGCCAAGAAGAACTGCATGATGCAGCCTGTGAAGGAGATGTTTCTGTCTTCCACAACCAAGTTCTCTAACAGTTTGGGTGTGATGACAGAAGAATAACAGAAATCAACAAAGGACAAGTGGCTGAGGAAAAAGTACATGGGGTTGTGGAGATTGGGGTTTATCCTGATGATCACGATCATGCCCAGGTTCCCCAGCACAGTGACCGTGTAGATGATCAGGAAGACCATGAAGAGGGGCACCTGGAGGTCCGGGTATTCTGAGAAGCCCAAGAGGATGAAGGTGGCTCCAGCACTCTGATTTCCTTGGTTCCTGTCGAATAAATAAGAAATCTGATTATCCTGAGAAACAAAACTTGAATTGACAGCACAAAATGAAAACAAATATATGAAGTTTACTGAGCATTTATAAAAGTTTTGTGGGACATACTTATTTACCCTTGATATACCATTTGAATAGTTAGAATCTATTAATGAAACTCACTGCTCTCAAGTTGAGTTTGACTCACAGTGACCCCATTGTGTTTTTGAAGAGGTAAATATTTAGAGAAGTAAATTGCCCCATCTACCTTCCACAGGGTGGCTGGTGGGTTTGAACCTCTAATCTTCTGGTTAACAGTCAAATGCCTTAGGCACTTTGCCACCAGAGCTTCGTGTTATGTTATAAACATAACATTTAAACAATAAATATTAATTTTGTGCAAGTGGAATAATAAAGAGTAAATTTGAAACAGGAGGGAAAAAAAGAGAAGAGAGCCTACTCTATTTCAAACAATTAAAATCAGTATCATCAGAGGAGCTGGTGTCATGGGAAGGGCCACTTTATCTCTTAGCAAGAGTCTGAATTTCCTGAAAATCCTTCAGAGTAAATACAGATTATAGGCTTTTATTGTCTCTTCTGGTCTCTCCTCTTGTGGTATGAACAACTAAATAGAACACTTAATTATTTTTCTAAATGTTTACCACCTAGGAATATGGCCAAGATGAATTTTTCTTGGTTTATCTGTTTTCCATTTCAGGATTTTCAGTACCCCTACTAGCTCAATGGGAGCTCTGGTAGCATAGTGGCTAAGGCACTTGACTGCTAACCAGAAGGCTGGCGGTTCAAACCCACCAGCCACTCCTCGGAAGGAAGG